CCCCAGGACGGGCACAGCTACGCCTGCCGCGTGCGCCACCGCAGCCTGGGCACCCGCAGCCTCCTCGTCCCCTGGGGTAGGTGCCACCCGTGGGCACGGCAAGGAGCGCCCCAGCCGCCCACCCGCTGGGATGGAGCAAAGCCCGGCAAGTTCATGGCAGCCCCTCCTTATATTGCCCAGGGAACTCACAGCTGGTGCTGATCACAGGGCTCGTGGCCGGGCTGCTGGGAGCCGTGGCTCTTGCTGCCCTGCTGCTGCTTTGCCTCTGGAGACGCAGGTGAGTCTCCTCCTGCCCCACACACAGCAGAGGGAGAGGAGGGGAGGGGATGCCCCAGGGGATTTCTGCACTGGGCAGCCGAGCTCAGGCTTCAGCCCTGCCAGCTCCTGTCCGCACCCCTACAAGGTCTCTGCCGTGCACCATCCGTCGGCTGTCTCCCTTTCCTCTCAGAAAGCACCAGGGGACAGAGGAATCACAGTCCAGGAACTCCATCCTGAGCAAAGAAGCTTAGCCCAGAAGGGAGACAACTGTCCCCGTTCCCTCTTGGCACCTGTCAGCCAACAGGGACAAGAATTACCTTCTTCTGCTTCAAGACTGCAAGATTAACTCGACTCAGAGATGCAGGGGAGAAATCTGGGTGGCTTCTGACTCACTTGAATTTGCTAAGCAGACACAGATGCAGGTCTGAGACCTCCTCACTTTTTACACCTCTTGTGGCACTGCCTTAGGCACCCACTGAGGCTCTAGGGCACCTAAATGCCCAGAGGCAATTTCTCCCACTTCTGCTACAATAACACTTTGATCACTAGGTGGAAAGCTGTGCCCTTCCACTTCCATTTTCTAGCTGATTTGTTTTCCTAAAAACTGCCTTTATTAACGTATTCCAGAAGTTTTTGTGCTGAGACTGAACTGTTCCACGCAGACTAACAGAACCTGGCCACAAATGGCTTTACAAAGTGCTGAGTAACACTGAAACTCTGGTATAATATGTGGGAGATGTGTAGAATATCTGCAGTTGTGTATAATAAAATCAATATTTTCACTAAGATCATGTGCCTTTCCTCAGGAGTTGTGTGGCTTTGGGGGAGGTTTTACTCAGCTGCAAAGGGAAGCCAGAGCACCACTGAATTATTGGCACTAATTGCAGGAAACACCAAGGAAAGGGGAAAAAAAAGTACATGTGTGCCTGTGCATATATGAACATGTTCTTACATATTGCATGGAAACAAGTAACTGTGCACATAGGGGTAAAGTGCCCCCAAGGCTTCTAAGAAAGGAGGAAAAGGAAGCCCATGTCCAATTGAAGACAGCAGAGTTCAGACAGACACAGGAAGCCATTTAGTTCATGCTCCCAACCAACTTAAACACAGAGCTTCAAAAGCTTTGGTTTCCCTGCAAAATTTCCCAAGATAAGTCTGGCAGCCATGGGGGAGCCAGAAAATCCAGCTGGCCTGTGGCTGTATCCACCACAGCTCTGCTGGGCTTTGTTCCCCCTCGGCCAGACCCTGGAAACAATGATGCTGGTGGCAGGACTACATTTTCCTGGCAGCCAGAGTCACCTGCTGGCACCACAGGGCTC